GTCTTCCTTGAGTTGTGAGGCACGATGAGAGAGCCAGTCGCCTTTGAATTGTAGGGCATGAAAGAGTGGTATACAGCTAGTCGTCCTTGAGTTGTAAGGGATGATGAAATAGTGGTATACAACCAGTCGTCCTTGCGTTGTAAGGCATGATGAAAGAGTGGTATACAACCAGTCGTCCTTGCGTGTCAACCTATTGTTTTATTCCTTTGAAGACGTGTCATTGCGAAGGTACTTTTTGACAAATGTGTTATTTGCTGATTAAAGTTAACTGTAAAATGTTCTGACTGACTCTAGTTATTGTTTTGGATGATTGAGTCGCAAAACGTTAATTGGTTTCCTTTTTAAATAGCAATATCATAGAACTTTCCAGGGCTTGATTTTTTATAAATACGACTACTTTATCTGTGCTTGATTCAAATATGGAATTTCACACTGGACCCATGCAGTATATTCTAATTGTTGATTGATCTGTTTTCCGGGAACATAATGAAAAGATCTTGCTTGGCTCAAATTGAAGAACACGTTTAGTCTAATGAATAGTACAGGCATGTGCCTGCGCCAAAAGTCGTCGCAAATGTGTGCGTGGCACCTAGATACCTAGATATACCGAATGTAATGAATTATAAACTGAATTGAACTGGAATAAGCAAAAAATAGACCCTGATCTGCTGTCATAAAAAATGCTTTCAAATCAGGATATGTACTGTTTGTTTTATTTATTAATTCTAACAATTATTGTTATTTATTTGTATGTCTATCTCTCCCGAAAAACTTATATTCAATTAACACTTCCAAGTGGACTCTCTCTCTCTCTCTCTCTCTCTCTCTCTCTCTCTCTCTCTCTCTCTCTCTCTCTCTCTCTCTCTCTCTCTCTCTCTCTCTCTCTCTCTCTCTCTCTCTCTCTCTCTCACACACATACATACATATATAAGAATAAAAGGCACATGGATTAATACCTATGAGTGTTTGTAGGTTTTTCATCTTTGTTTGTTGTTGACCTAGTTTTTCATTCGTAGTAAATTATGATATACATGATTTATTGTTTTAGAATCACAAAGATTACATATAATATTATGTTATATGTAATCTTTATCGCTGTTTAAAAAATGAACAAGAAGACAGATATCAGACGAATATGGAGTTGTATCACTCCTCATACGCTGATTCATTCCATATCATTCTTGTCAGCGTGATTTTGGTCTGTTTAAGTTCTCTGCTTTAATAGTTTAGTTGTGACATAATCATCCAAATTATTAAATCAATATTGTAATGCAATTTCTAATCGCTCTTCCAAAATCATTTTGTATTAAATTAGTTTTCATTGTTGAGTATCATGACACTGCATTGACATCAATGCCAAATGCTTTGTAGAAATTCTACACAGAAAATGAAGAGGAATTTCTTCGTTTAATCGATTTTAAGGGGCATTTACGACGCAGATGTCTCTGTGCTTTAAATATTCATCATTTTAGTGTTACTGGATATAGTCAGAGGTAACAGGAAAAAGAATGCATTATTTACTCAGAGAACTGATTAGATTTTGACAAAGTAACTGAACAGGTACACAAGTTTTGATGACTTCAGTTGCTAGTTTTGCGTGAGTTATATGTCATTTAAGAATAGAAGAATAACCTGCTCTAATAATTTTATTCAGCATCGAATCGTTCCAGATTACTTTTTTTAAAAAAGTCTTTTAAAAGTAAATGGTTTCTTTTGAATTACTGTTCCTAATGTTGTACTATCTAGACGGTCCTACATCTATTTCTTACGATAAATGGATTCGACAAATAAATAACCAACTGATTTGGTTTTAACCTGAGGTGGTACTCGTATATCCCTGCTGCATAAAAACTGATATCAACATTGACAAGAATATTAACTTATTGGCATCGTTCTAATCTTTAGTTTGACTCCATTTTTAGGCGCAAGTTAGGCTATCTCACAAATAAGCATACACACATTGGTTCAGTACGATACTCAAGTCAAAGCGGACAGAGATAAAATGGTAGTGATCGGTAAAGGCATGTACATTAGACTACCCTGTCCCAGGAACGTAAATTATGAACTACGTTAAAATGTGATAAACCATCCTGCTTTAACGTCCAAACAATATATCGAGAGTTCCGACGATTCAACAATTTAACTACAAAACGTTTTCTTTACTAATTTATATCTGATGCTTTTTTGACCCAAAAATATTTCACGAAATTAATCCTAGTTCAATTCACAGAGCAGAGAATAGAAAATTGCTTTTGATTTAAATCTTTCCACACTACGTTTAGGTAGCGAATGAAGGCAAGCCTATTTCAAGATTGTACTAATAGACGTAAATCGTTAATATATTTACTGAATACACTAATACCTATATATATATATATATATATATATATATATATATATATATATATATATATATATATATATATATATATATATATATATATATATATATATATAAAGCTCTTAAAAATATGTTAAGTTGTTAAATGTCTTGACAAAATAGTTTTTAACTCATGGTCCTTTAAGTATGTTTTATTGTGATGACCTGATAGGGTCAGTCTAATATAGGTCTGGATTTTAGTTTGAAGTGCGTGAACATGAGTTTGTGCAACGTAAAATTGACCCTGCTTACTTTATCACCTCTGTTATAAATCTTGTTTCAGAGGTGCAATGTTTGTTACCTTATCATGCTCTTCTATATCGGAGGTGAGTTTTGCATCTAGTCAGCAAGTCCATTAAACAAAAGTTTGAGGGTACATTCTGTAATAAAGATTTTAAACAGTTGAGAGCGTAAGTCATTGTAGAATGGAATTTGAATTAGAACATACGATTCGTTTTTTAAAAAATATCTTTGCAATATAGAGAAAGTGTTCAATATACAGGCGAAGGCTCATAACAGCCAGTTTGAAGTACAATGAAGCCATTACACTTCTCACACTAAGTGTTATATGTGCGTAGTTAATACAACAGACAATAACCTTCGACCTCAAAATTATCATTTTGAAATCAGTTGATCTTTATCATATTGCCACCATTGCTAGTTTTAGATGTGTGTATATTCATATCTGATATATATATATATATATATATATATATATATATATATATATATATATATATATATATATATATATATATATATATATATATATAGTTTAGTCCTAAGTACGGCAAAATTGATGTATAAGACAGTTATCTTGTGTAATTTTACCATAAAACACTTCCCGCAGGTCAAATAATGAGAACTACTTATTTACTCTGAAACATAATCCTTATCTCAGTAAATTTGACCACTGAAAGCTAGAATAAAACATCTCGTTTATTCAACAAATCATTCCTCCTACTCCACAAACGATACAGAAGATACCGTTGTTTGTATGGCATTGGCGTCAAACCAGTATTACTAGAAACTGCTGTGTTTTGTGTTATCTTTCTAAATTTTAAAAAAGATGCTAGCCACCCTATAGTGTATCCGGCCCGCGACCAGGTTGTATCCGCTTATTTACATTACAGGATGTGGCTTTAAAAATCTCTTATCCGGCACGCGCCTTGGAGAAAGTTGTCCATGTCTGGTACTCAGGATCAATACAATCGCAAAGCATGGTGCCAGGATACGGTTCGTGCCAATAGTTCGACTCCTGTAATAAACATGTATAGACATCATATGATTGAAAATTCAATATCTCTCTGTTTGTATTAGTCGGGATCAAACTTATCTTTCACATTATAGAAACTTCCTTCCTGTATACTCCTGTGCTGAGAGGCATATGTGCTGAAGATATTTGTGACCTATACAACACATAAAAAATAACAGCTACTTTCATTTCTGTTGTGCCTAAATCAAGTAAATAAGACAGTCATCAATAGAACCTTTCTGCATCTTATTTCAGTTATTACTAGGATCAGCTTTAAAAAGTTAATTTTACTTAAATTTTATCAATTTATACTGGCCTCCAAAACCCGTATATCATCTATATTATGTTCAACAATATTCAGATTGGATCTAATATTTTTACATAATTTGCACAGTGAGTTTTGTAGGACTCAAGGTACTAACGATGGGGAAGAATGGGAACCTGCTTAAAAATTTATGAACATAGAACCGAATATACGAATTCGGCTGCTCAGAAGTGTTGATAATGAAAGTAAGGTTTGAATAAAATTAATCTTTAAAAGAGTTTATCCTAATTTTAACTTAAAAAATAGACAATGTTTCATTGATTGAATATTAGTCATTTTACAGACTTCAACCATAAAACAGTATTGAAATTAGCACCTGAGTCCCGGGTCAGCAATTGAAAACACGTGGTTCTCTTTATACAGAAGCTATCATAATGAATCTTCAATACTAATACATATAGGTTTGATCATGAGAAATTAAAAGTTTAAAGTTATTCATGATATAATATTACACCCTTGATGCTGATGATGCCTCATGGTCTAGTATCACACCAGTTTTATTTAGTGAATCTTTGGGAACGTCCTAATTTGCGGTTGAATAGGTTATGCCTCAATTACTTAGGTTTCTAATTTTATGTATTCTGTAGGAATTGATGTAATTTTTGACATTTAAATATCATTTTCTGAAGTAATGCATGCATATATCGATGACCTTACGAATTTTTGCATGAAAACGATAATATATTTTAATCTTAACTTGAAGAGAGATAAATGCTAATAGCAGAAAGGTAACACTTAAACACGTGACTGGACATATGCATTTTAATATCGTTTTAAGAATTTCTGAAATAAAGGTCAAAATGCTAAAATATCGCCTGAAATGCACCATAGATATTTTTTCCATGCATGAACTATACCTGAACTGGAAAACATAATTTAATATTCACTAATGTAATCTTTGACACTCAGAACTATGAACATTCCTTACTTATATATTCATCTATAATACAGTGCTGTAAAGTAAATCAAGGTATGGAACTCACGGTACTAGGATATCTCTATACCGATAATGGAAAATATGCCTCCGATGAGGTCGTGCCGCTCCGGTGGCCTAGTGGTTAGAGCGTCAGCCGCTGATGCAGGAGCTCGCGGGTTCGAACCCAGGTCGAGTCATTCCAAAGACATATAAACAAAATCGTACTTTTTAGCTGCTCAGCATCAAGAGGTTAGTGGTAGAACTGATTGGTCTGGTGTCAGGATTGTGTGATTGAGTCGGACATTATGCTACATGTCTGCGGCGTGATGCCCCAGTATTAGACAACACTATAAACTGCAATAATGCATACATCGTAGCGATATGACTGAAAAATTGTTAAAGCTAAATTACATACCTTTTGATTCTAGTTTAGAAAGAATGAAATACCATCAGCGCCAGTTCTTTTCTAGAAATGAACATGTTTAATAATAAAGAAAGTTAAGCTTCTCTAGCACAAAAAAGGAATATAAACAAAATCAAAGAGCAACGTAGTTAACAAGGCTGACATCATTGAGGAGTCAAAGGTGTCGTCCAGTATTAAAAGACACCGTTCCTTGGCCATCAGTAAGCAACTAAGTTTCGAAGCTGAAGACAACTGCCAACCGTAAATTCACAAAATTTTCTTTAAATTATAGTATCATTTCTAAGTATTTCCGATCAACACAAATCACTAACATATCATGTGGGTAATCAAAGACTGCCTTTATAAAGAAACCGAGCACAACATTGTCCAAAACCATGGAAGGTGATCCTTGTAACGTCATAATACTGAATCATGTCGATAAAGTATGTTTCTCTCATAAAGTCAATGATGTTGTCCTCAGAGGAGGTACTCCTAATCCATATGAATCAAAGTATTCCTCCATGTGATTATTGGCAAATTAGGCAGCTACCCACTGGGATCCTCCTGACTGTTGTCTGTACTAATGACATAGGTTTCAACGTATTTATATTTATCTTTAGTGCACCCCAAAGGATTTCACGAAGCTACAGACGAACTTTGAGTCAGAAGGTAATGAAATTCCAGGTTATAATTTCTTCTGTTCTTTTTGTTGTTGCATTTTTAGCTTTCACATGTCATTAGATTAGTATTTGACTTTTGCGTTGAAAATCTATCTCAAGTAAGTTGGTGAATTACTAGTAGTATGTGCACTATACTGCAAGAGAGATTCTTTGGTCTACCGAGAGTTAAATAGAGATGTAAAATGGTCATGAAAGTCATTACAGTACTTTCTCTGAATAATCTTTCTTCTTGTTTCATCAAATAAATATATTTCCGGAGTATGGTCAAATTCTGCATACAAGATTGCGTACACTACTGAAAACTGACGTTCCACACAAAAAATCACCCGAATGTTCAAAAAGTGGGCTATTGATGCTGTGACGGAAAGAATGGTGACTGACGTTGGCTCTAATTCTGCCGTTGTTGCTGTTGCTACCCATTACATTTTGCAAGGCAATTATATACAGTGATTTAGTAAACTTTTCCATAAATGTTGATCTAGGTTTTGAAAAATCACCTTAGTAATGACTGTTATGTTGACACAATATACAGCAACGATTTGGCATAAAAGGCTATTTGAGTTTTAGGAACCTGTTATGTTGACACAATATACAGCAACGATTTGGCATAAAAGGCTATTTGAGTTTTAGGAACACGTTCCCGCATCAAACCCACAGACTTTTTAAAACTAATTTTTAAAGAGAGGAACTCTGAGAAGGAGATGAAGTTGCTGTGTTTAACAACATTATGGTTAATTATTTTTTGTTGCCGATCAATCCAATGCACTTTCGCTTTCACCCAAATTAAGGGAATATATCATCAATGGCAAGCCGATTTAGCCAATGTCTCTAGTTTGACCAACTACAGTCGTGGCTACAAATATTTGTTTTGCGTCATTGATGTCCTTTTTGCTTGGGTCGTGCCATTGACTTTCAAATCGAGCAATGAGTTAGTGAAATCCCTTAAACTACTGGTGAAACACAGTGGAGGTCAACCTTTACGATGGCACACCGACAAAGGCAACGAAATTCTGAACCCAGCTTTCCAAAACGAATTGAAGAAACTAGACAGTTTTTTCACCACCTAGAATCCCAAAATCAAAGCCAGCATCGTGGAACTTTTTTACGTACATAGAAAGAACGCATTTTGAAATATTTTACACAGTCTTATGTTAATCTACGTCTTTTCTCACCTGGTCAAAACGTACAACCAACCTTACCATCGGATCTTCGGATGTTCCCCACAAGAAATGACTACCGACAGAGAAGTGACTGTCTTTGAGCGCCTTTTTAGTACATTCCATACTGTGATTGTCCCCAGGAAAGGAGAAGTGTTGAGAACGGGAGATTGCGTACGCATTGGCAAAACCAAACGTATTTTCGACAAAGGTTAGTTACACAACTGGACCACCAACAACTTTTGTGTCACTGGACGAGTACGTGGCCGTCGTCTTCTGTCTGTAAATTGGAAGATATGAACGGAGAAGTGTTTAAAGGAACGTTTTACTTGCAGGAGTTACAACGCGAGACCAAAAAAGAAAACGAAAGTATTCTAGATCGAAGAAACCGTAAGTTGGGAAAACGACGTGTCAAAATAATCGTACTACGTTGGAAAGGATATCCTCATAGTTTTGATTCTTGGACTGACACTTCGAAAGTCATCGACAATAAAAAGAAGTGACCATCATACCCTTCAACACAGCCTCAGCTACAACAGTGACCACCCATTTATCCAGCTGTTTTGTGCGAGGCCTAAAAAAAGCACACCTTGTGAGTGTGGTGTAGAGAACGTCTGCCTAAAACGCAAATAGACTTTTTCTGTCAAATCTTTGTGGTGCATTGTGTCATTGGTGCGGTCATTGCCAGTTTGAGTTTGCATCAAGGAAACAAACAATTGTGGACCATTTTACTGAGCAGTTGCATCGGTTACCTTCTCCCCAATCCTTCCCTGAAGTACGTGAACGGTAACAACAACGGGAGCCTTGCATCTAATGTTATCATCACCCTTCCAGCAGTCACCACACCACCTCCAACAACAACAATCTTCTTTTAAAGCATTCCTCTGAATTGATAGTGATTGATTTTGCTTAACGTTACAAAGCGATAGTTCTATGGAGGATTTCCCCACAATGCTTTATGCTATTTCACAACCAAATTAACTCAGGTCATTCAGTTGGATCACGAAGCTCAGAGGGATGTGGATTTGGTCGAAATGATTCACCCTACACAGATCCAAAACTTCACCGAAAATCAAACGAAGCTTTGGAAGGAAGTCGGAAATATACAATTACAAGAAGACTAAGATACCAATGATACTCAAATTTGGACATCCAAACATTTAGCTCAAGACAAGTCTCACCCGAACATGTATGAGATGAAAATTCCTGCATGTTATTATCTTAATACTCAACATTTGGTGGATATGATCGAAACTATTTAAGGCGCTCAGTTTGGCAAAGACATGGCCAGACAGAAAACCGTCACTATCGAGTACAATAAAGTGGCTCGTCGTCTATTGATGACATTTACGGATGCCCAAACGTCGTTCATCACTTTTAATCTTGCATTGTTTGAGATATTGGTTGGAAAGTAGATCACCTTATTTGATGGAAAGCTTTCCCCTGACATCAGCAGTTTCGCAATAGCCGATTTATTACGTTATATTGCTACGCGGTAGAAGTGAACCAAGGATTAAATTTGATCTTTGTGTATTCCGATGTGGTGGAGTACAATGTAGTGAGACAAACCTCCGCACAGTTACTGCGAGTCATTCCTTTCAAAGTGGATTCTACCGCGACCACTAATGAGGAAGGTGGAATTACCTATCACGTTAGCCGCGAATTTGTATATCATCACTACCTGCACGTTAGTAACCATATTTCGACAGTGTCAACATTGGTATGAAAGGAGACATGGGCGAAAATACTCCATTTACCAAAAGGGAAAGTCACGGTAAAGCTTTGTTTTATAAAAGGATTCTCTAACGACCTGAAAATCATGTGTCATGTGTACAGAGGAGTCGCTTGACAGCGAGGTCATGTTTAAGGATATATGATGAAATCGGCCTTTAGTTCGGTGGCCCCCGTTTTGAAACCGATGGTCACACGATCATTACACACCTTTAAAGATGCTGAGTTGACGAAAGGCAAAGATTTATCCAAAGTGTCATCATCGACAAACAACCCCCCCCAAAAAAAATTTTTTCTTAAGAGCAGGCAAAATTGTCCTCCTTATAAAAGAAAAAAAAACATTTTGGACAGATGAGAAACTCCAATAAATGCTCCGGATAGTACCCAGCCATGCATTCCTGCTTCCGTGACGCCACATCAAGGAGAAATTAGAAAGACACGACGACAAACATACCCATTCAGAAGACGAAGCAAAAGGTGTACTGAGAGTCCTGCGCATGTTCCAAGTCGAAACCGGATCTGTTTGCCATGTCACTCACTATGATGATGATGCAAGAATCCAGATCGGTAGAATTTAATCCCGTCTCCTCTTTGACGGACTCAGCTCCCGTCGAATTTATAATGAAAGAACGGCCTGAAAATTACATCGATCTGACTAGTAGTTACTTGTACTTGAATGGTGAAGTGATCGACGCAATGAGGGACGATCCCAATATATAAGACGAATATAAAGTAACCCCGTCAACTATTATATTCATTCAGCGTTTAGACGAATGTGTTTTTACTTGAATAACAAACTTGGCAGTATCAGCATGGATACTTGCCCTTACCAAGCGTACCTGGAAAATATATTGACGTACAGAAATGAAGCCAAGAACACTTATCTAAATGCCTGTGTCACATGGAAACCTTACACGGCAGGCAAGTTGGACACAATATCAGAAAAAGAAAATATGGTTTTCAACTAGAGTTGAGAGAAATCTTGCAAGGACATATTTTAGAATTGATAGATCGTTTGCATTCATATATGTGGTTTCAAGAGAAGTATTAGCTAAACGGTGTAATAGTCCGCCTGATACTGAATCGCATCAGCGCCGCGTTCCATTTGATAGCTGATTCTGCCTAGTACACAAGAACCATCCAAGAAGCCAGACTTTTTGGCGCGTGGAAGAGTTGCCTAAAGTGGGAAATGATATCAGTCACCCTTGAGCATAACGACTGCCAGG